AGACTGAGGGCTACGTGGTGACACCCAACACCATGACCCTGCTGAAGCAGCACCTGGCAATCACGGGTGGGCAGGTGAGGCCACGTCCCCCAGCCCAGCAGTGGTTGACACTGCCAGGGTGGCTGGGGGAACACACAGCTCACAGGTGGCACGGCCAGGGACAGCACCCACATGGCGTGGGGGGCTCCATGGGATTGCCAGGGGCTCGTGTCAGTGCCACTGCTGTCAGGAAGGGGAAGTCTCCTGCTGAAGGAACAGAGGTGTCCCCTTTCCCCCTGCAGGTACGGACACGGTTCCCTCCTGAGCCCAATGGCATCCTGCACATTGGCCACGCCAAGGCCATCAATTTCAACTTTGGCTATGCCAAGGTAAAAAGCACTGAGCCCTCCTGGCCACTGCCTTACCTCACTGGCTGCTGGCCTGGCTTTGTGGTCCCCTGGGGAGCAGCTGCTCACCATCCCCTCATCTCCAGGCCAATGGTGGCGTGTGCTTCCTGCGCTACGATGACACCAACCCGGAAAAGGAGGAGGAGAAGTACTTCACGGCCATCCGGGAGATGGTGGAATGGCTGGGTATGGCTCAGGCTGGGGAGGGCAGCATCATTCTAGGTGCCAGGGACATCCCTGCATGCAGGTCCTGCTGCTGGGCCTTCCAACCTGCTCCATTTCCCCCATCCCCATAGGCTACCAGCCCTATAAGGTGACCCACGCATCGGATTACTTTGACCAGCTCTACACGTGGGCCCTGGAGCTCATCCGCAGGTGAGCGTGTGGGGTGGTAGGGATGTGCCAGCATGGTGTGGGTGTCCTGTGCCACAGCTGGGGCTCCCCCTTGCCCAGGGGATGGGTTACTCGTGTCTGGTGACAGTGTTTCCCCCCCGTAGGGGTCAGGCATACGTCTGCCATCAGAAGGTTGAGGAGATCAAGGGCCACAACCCTCCACCCTCACCATGGCGGGACCGGCCTGTGGAGGAGTCGCTCCTGCTCTTTGAGGTACTCCTGACTGGGGAAGGTGCTGTGTGCCTGTGGGTCTGGATCTGTGGCTCAGCTGGCAACTTCCCCCTCTCCACAGGACATGCGAAAGGGCAAGTTTGGGGAGGGGGAGGCCACACTGCGGATGAAGCTGGTGATGGAAGATGGGAAGATGGACCCTGTTGCCTACCGTGTCAAGTTCACTCCGCACCACCGCACCGGGGACAAGTGGTAGGGAGGGCCTCTGGTGGGCCTGCATTTCCTGAGAGTGGGGAGGTGTCAGGAGGGGAGCAGCACCGTGCTCTGCCCTGGGCTGACTGAGTCTGCCTTGCAGGTGCATCTACCCCACGTACGATTACACACATTGCCTCTGCGACTCCATCGAGCACATCACGCACTCCCTCTGCACCAAAGAGTTCCAGGCCAGGTGAGCACTGTGCATGACATGGCCCAGGGACGAGCCAGATCTGGGAGCAGCTGGCTGCATCCTGACAGATGCCAGTATCCGTGGGGCTGAGCCGGGCTGTGCCTGCACCTCCCTTGCAGGCGCTCCTCTTACTTCTGGCTCTGCAACGCACTGGATGTCTACTGCCCCGTGCAGTGGGAGTACGGGCGCCTGAACCTGCTCTACACCGTCGTCTCCAAGAGGAAGATCATCCGGCTGGTGGAGACGGGTGCTGTGAGGTATGAGCAGGGTCAGCAGCCAGGATGGGACTCGCCCAGGACATGCCTGGTTGTCACACCTGTGTTTTCCCAGGGACTGGGATGACCCGCGGCTCTTCACTCTGACAGCCCTGCGCCGGCGAGGCTTCCCCCCTGAGGCCATCAACAACTTCTGTGCACGGGTAGGTGCCTGGGATGGGGTGGGACAGGGCAGGTGGATGTGTTCCCTGGCCAGCTTTGTGACGACAAGCGGTCCCTCAGGTTGGTGTGACAGTGGCCCAGGCAACGATGGAGCCGCACCTGCTGGAGGCGTGTGCACGGGAGGTGCTGAACGAGCAGGCCCCCCGTGCCATGGCCGTCCTGGAGCCCCTCAAGGTCACCATCACCAACTTCCCTGCCCCAAAGGTGAGACTGCCGTGGGCTGGAGTGGGAGTGGTGTTCCCCAAGATCATCATTCACCCTCTCTTTCTCCCCAGGCACTTGAGGTCCTTGTGCCCAACTTTCCAGCCGATGAGAGCCGGGGTTTTCACAAAGTGCCCTTGCATCCCACCGTCTACATTGAGGAGACAGACTTCAGGGAGGTGAGCCAGGCCCACTGCCTTGCTCATGGAGCAGGAGCCTGGCAGCACTGGAATTGGTGCCGGTGCTGCACACACAGGTCACAGGCAGGTGTCAAGTATGTGACTGTGACTTCCAAATGTGCCAGCAGCTCTGATGGGCACTGGGGAAATGCTGCCCTCAACCTGGCCAGGATGTGTCCAACCATTGGTGCCCACTCCGGCCTGTGCCCTGGGGAGTGTCCCACAGCAACATGGGAGTTCAAGCAGCTCTGGGATCACTGATCTCTGGGACAGCAGGAGTGGGAATAGAGAGACATGCTGGAGGGGGCACCTGCTGCCCATGCTGAGACCCCTCCTGCAGCCATGAACTCTCTTGCAGGAGGCAGACAAGGGCTACAAGCGCCTGGCTCCCGGGCAGCCGGTGGGGCTGCGCCACGCTGGCTATGTCATTGCCGTCCAGAACGTCATCAAGGTGCGTGGCTTGGGGCACTGGTGACATGAGGTTGGGCTGTGGCATGTCAGGATGTGGCCATGCTCCAGCAGGGAAGGGCAGCGACAGTCATCTCATGCCAGGCACTGTGGGCACAGCGAGGGGGAGGGCTGCCTGTGTGGCAGCTCCCTGTCCGCCCTGTGCCTCATACAGTGGGCAGCAAGGTAGCCCCGAGCTGGGAGCCTGGGGGTTTGGCCCCAGGCCTGTCCTGTGGGATGGGGCTGCTGCCTGACCATTGCGTGACAGATGAGCTCATCTCCTCTCCCCCAGGACATCAGTGGGCGCGTGATTGAGCTGGAGGTGACCTGCACCAAGTCGGATGTGGCGGAAAAGCCCAAAGCCTTCATCCACTGGGTGTCGGAGCCACTGGCGTGTGAAGTGCGGCTCTACGAGCGGCTGTGAGTGCCTGACTGCCCGCAGGGGCAGGGACAAGAGCAGTGCTGCTGGAGTGACAGCACGGCTGTGCACCAGCAGGCCCTGCTGGGATCTGCCCGGCCCTTTGTGGGGGGCAACATTTTTGGCATCAGTGGGGTCCCGTGAGCGGCACCACATCCCCTCGTCTGGCATGTTTGGGATGAGACTTTGTCTCGTGGCAGGTTTTTGCACAAAAATCCCGAGGACCCATCGGAGGTGCCCGGTGGCTTTCTGAGTGACCTCAACCCTGTGAGTAGCGGCAGCAGCTAGGGCTATGGGCCCAGGGTGAGCTGGGACCTCCTGTGCCCATGTCTGAGGCACCCACTTCTGTGTACACCCTACCCCTCTTGGGGCAAGGGTTTGCTGAGTCCCTGGGTGGAAGAGGGATCAGGGAAAGCAGGGCTGTGGAGGGGGCAGAGGGGTCGGCATGCTGGCTTAGCTGTCTCCCCCTGCCAGGACTCCCTGCGTGTGGTGCACAATGCCCTAGTCGACAGCTCCGTCCTCTCCGCCCGACCCTTTGACAAGTTCCAGTTTGAGCGGCTGGGCTACTTCTCTGTGGATCCTGACAGCAGGGAGGGGAAGGTGAGACCAGGGGCTGGTACAGTGGGGCTTGGAGCCATGGGGCTCAGAACCATGGGGCTCTGAGCAGACCCTCTCTTTCTCCCCAGATGGTCTTCAACCGGACGGTGACGCTGAAGGAGGACCCCGGCAAGGCCTGAGGGAACTGCTGCTGCCACACCACCGTGGTGTTGCTTCCCCGGGGGTCCTTGCACACCCCCAGTGCCACCGTGCCTTGATGCAGCCCCCCGGGGCACCCCACAGCATTGCCTCAATAAACAGAAATCCCAGCCCTGTCCCCACGCTGTCACTGCCTCCCGTTCACCTGCTTAGCCTTGGGGTGCTGGGTTGGGGAGGGTCTCCCCTGTTCTTGAGGCTCGGAAGCTGCTCCCATCTGCCGTGCAGCACTGGTGTCCCCACGAGAGCTGCAGCTCCCTCGCCTGGCACTGAGGGACTGGGGTCGACGGTGTCGGGGTGGGATGGAGAAGGGTCGGGGGGGTGGTGCAGGTAGGACAGACCGGGTGCGAGGGGGTGAAGCAGGGTGTGCGCACTGTGTACAAACACTGCCCGAGCGCCCTCCCCCCTTAAGGTGGAGTCGAGCGCGGTGACCCCTGCCCGGCCCCAGGCTGGGGGTCAAGGGGGTGCCCCCGCGGGACTGACGTGCCCTCGTGGCCTGAGCCCCGTACCCATGCCACTGGCCCTACCGTGGGCGGGGGGAGGCCCTGCCCGCTCCCCCGGGCCACCTTAAGCGGGGCCGGGGCCGGAGAGGCCGCGCCAAGCACATGGGCCCGTTAAAGCAGCCCCGGCGCAGCCCACGGCGCGGGGCACCTTCTGTCCCTGCGGGGACCCTCCGCCCCGCGGTACCGCCGGGGGCAGGGGCAGGGCCGGGACCGGCCGCGCGATCCTCGGCGCGGTCCCCGGAGAGCCACCACACAGCGGCCTCGCCCCGCACGGGGCGGCGCGGGGTTCTCGCCCCGGGGGGGGCGCGGGGGTCGCGGCCGGGCCGCCACCGCACGGCACGGCAGCACTGGAGCGGCCGCGTGGGGACCCTCGTGGGGACCCTCGGCCGGCGCCGCCCAACGGCCGCGCGGTGCCGGTGTCGCCGTGGGTCCTCCCGGCACTCCGGACAGGGCCTGTCCCTGTCCCCACCTGTCCCCATGTGTCCCGCACCGTGTCCCGTGTGCTGCGCGCGCCCCCGCTCAGTGGCGCCCCCCTGCGGCTACGCCCACCGCGGCCCCCCCCCGCGGCCGGGCCCCTTTAAGGTGCGGGGCGGGCCCGGGCCCCGAGCTCTCGCGGGGCTTGGGGGCCGCGCTCTCGCGAGGCTGGGGCTGCGCGGTGATTGGCTGCGGGGGGTTGAATGTAAGATGGCGCCCAGGGAGCTGTGAGGGGAAAAGGCTCAGGGCCGAGGCAGCGGCGGCGGCGGGGCCGGGGTGAGGTGGGGCCGGGTCGCGCCGCGGTGCAGCTGGGCCGGCGGGCGGGGGGGGCGCGCAGTGGTGGCGGTGCCGAGCGGGACCTCCCGTCGGGCGCGGGGGGGAGGCGGCGGCGGTTCCGGGGGCGGCGCGGGCCCGGCGGGGAGGGGGAGGGGGCGGCCCCGCCTGCCGCGCGCGCGCTTCCCCGGCCCACGGGGGCGCGCGCGGTCCGGCCGGGCGCGCGCGGGGCGCGGCCCCTGCCTCTGTCCCCGTGTCCCCCCAGCCCGCACCGGGCTCGTCCCCGCCGCCCCCCTCCTCTCCCCGGGTGGCGCGGCACCGGCGGGCGCGGCCTGTGCGCGGCCCTTGGCGGCCCCGGCCCCGCCGAGCCCCCGACACGGCTCCAGCCGGCGGGGCTGGGGGGGCGGTGTCGCAGCGCCGCCAGCGGGCCCGGCCCGGCCGCCCCGCCGGGAAACAAAGGCGGCGGGAGTGGCCCGGGCAGCGCCGGGTCCCCGCGGGCGGGGAAAGCCCCGCGAGCTGCGCGTCGCCCGCCCGGGCATTGCAATGGTGGAACCGCGGCCGATGGTTCATGGGCTGAACGCAGAGCTTCGCTCGTCCGGGCTGCGTGTTGGAGCGGCCTGTGGCGTTCCCGTCTGTCCCGAGTGTCGGGGCAGCGCCGGCAACACCTGCGGGGGGAGCAGTGGGGGCTCTGGATATGGTACACTGCTGCTGCCTTGTTCTAAGTTCTGTCTGCCAGTAACTCCGGTGTCACGGCCGTGCTGCGGCTGTCGCCGCACGGCGCCCTGTGACAGATGTGCTCACACACTCGTTCCCAGTAACGCTCACCAGGCTGAGGGATACGATGGTTAGGAATTGGGCATCCTGCAATTCCTTAGTAGGAGCTGCTAGCTGCGTGGATGATCGTATCTTTGTTTCCTGATTATTTTTTTTTCATAATGGAATAAATATTAAAAATAAAATGGGTTTAATAAAGAAAGAGGAACTGGGGATGGAAAGGGCTTCTTTGTTCTGTCTTCTCCAGAACGTTACAAGTCTAAGAGCTCAGGACAAGAGCAGCAGAAATACATGCAACATGGTGACTGGTGAGTCGAGATTGTCCACATGCTGCAAGTTGTGTGTGTGTTTTCAGTAACCTCAGTCTAAGTTTTATCAACTAACTGTATGTGCTCATGATCTTCAAAGAGTTTCTTGAACTTATTTCCTGAAAAAAATGCAGTTATGCTGCACAGAAAGGAGTTACCTTCCTTGATTGGAGAAGCTTATTGCCTCGATGCTCTTTTTTTATTTAAAAACACAGTATTAAAAACATGCTGCTGAGATCTCGTGAGGGTGGGTGTTTGCAGTTTCCAGTGTGTGGCTGTGGGATAAATGGAATGCACAAATTAGTGTGTTTTAATAACAGTAAAAGTGACGACTGCAGCAACAAGCTGCATATGTTGCCCTACAAAGGTCTGTTGAATGCACACTGGAAACTTACAGAGATTTTCTGCCATAAATCATGTAAATGTCATAAATAAGGTGGGTTAAGTTTTAATAAGTAAAATTTCTGGGAGTACAGTGTTACTTTCCTGATCTTCTTCCAGACTGGGTACCTCTGCTGCTGCGTAGAGTTTTGTGCAGTTTTGAGTGGTTCAGTGCTTTTAGTTAAATAACCCCAAGCAGCCTTAAACTGATGTGACCGACCCTGAGAGTTACCTGCAGGGCCTGTAACTCCTGTCTGATTGCCAGAGTAGGAGAGCTGTGGAGAAAACCCAGGGAAGATCCTGCTGCTCTTCAAGGGCAGAAACAGATGCCCTGTGTTGCAGTGGCGTTCTGGTCCATGCCTGGGACTTGGAATGCTACAGGGATTAAGGTGGGAATCTCACTGTTTGAGGCATTAGTGGCTCTCAGTGTGGTAACTTAAAGCATATATAAAGCAAGTTTTCCCATGCTAGGAGAGAGGAAAAGAGAGATTCCCTGTGACACAGAAATATTTACTAGTAGGAGAAGATTGGCCTAGTAGGCTCTTGATTTTGATGCTAACAAGAACTAATTGAGATGGAGCAGCTGAGGAGGGCTGAGGATTTGTGTCTAAGAAATTTATGCTGTTTGTTCTGCTTCCTGGTGGTTAGAAGAGGTAGGTGATGATTTGGTGGTGGACCTCTCCTTGATCTTTGGGCTTGCTGCTTGTGCTTCTGGGTTTCTTGTGGCTTCTGGTCTCTGCTATGCAGGAGAATGATGTACCTGTGAGCAGCTTGTGGCAGAAGGGCTGGACTTCCAAAAGCAGAAGTGAGGGATAATGGTTAGCTGTTGTTAGAAACAGCGGCCTTGCTGACCTCCCCACTCTCTTCTTTTGATAAGATTAACAGAAGGTGGATACTGAGTTGTTACAACATGATAAGCACCAATGGAGGAGTAAGGAAGAAGGCAGGACTTGGGAGAGGTGAGCCCATCCTGTTCAGCAGCAGCTGGCTGTCAGAGAGCCTGTAATCTCAAACAGCACTTATGATGTTCACATCTGGGATCCCAGAGTGGCATCCTTGAGGCTTATTCCTCAGAAGAGTCTTCCCTCTCAAAGCTGCGTCTGCTGGTGCTCCTCAGGGTGGACATGCAAAATGATGATGCTCTTCTGAAAGCCTCGCCGTAATATTGAAGTCAAATACTTGCAAGTTCCAAGTAGAAAACTGGGACGAGTTAATCACTGAAAATCTGTTTTACAGCCTCAGTGTGTAACAACATTTCACAGTTAGATGCAAAACACATTCACAAGACCTGGTGTAGGTCTTGTCTGAGTCATTGCAGATGAATTACCATTGTTGTTCTCCCTCGGTTTCACACCTGGGAAAAGGTTAACCTGTCCTATAGTGGTGTAAAGTACTTTTAGTACTTACTACTCCTGGAGAAGCGAATAGTCTTAACTGGCTCTGTCACCCAGAGTTGCCTCAAAAATGTGTCAGATCGGTGTCTCTTAAAGGCAGGAGAGTTGTTTTTCTGTCCGGTGGTGGGCTCTACAGGAGCCTCTGTATGGTGATATTTACAGAACTGTTGGATTTGCTAAGGGAACACTGTTAACTGGTGCTTTTTACTAAACATTTCTGCATATTTTAAGAATATTTTCTGTAATAATCTCATACAGCAACAAGTGTAGCTTAGTGAGTCCAGAAACTATAGATAGAACGTAAGTTGCCTCATGTGTGTTCCCCTTACCTTTGATATTCTTTTCTCCTGTGAGCCTGGTCCAATGCACTAGCCATGACCCTCCATGTAAACAAAAACTGCTGTGAGTTTGGACTGCTGACACCTAACACAAAAAGGGGTTAGTGTTTGCTCCAGCTCTCCCTGGTTTTGATGATGATTGGAGCTGGACTTGTGCAATCTGCTTGAGTGCCAGGCAAGGCCTAGAGCTAACTCTCCTTTCCACGCAGGCTTTGGCAATCTTACGTTCACTCACGTATCTCTGTCTTGATTCTGCTTTGTTAAATCATGGTAAAATGATACATAAAGTTCTTCTTTTGTACCTGTTCTTTTTAGAACTGCTGTCATAATGTACGTGGTGATGTCTGTCCATTTTTCCTCCTTTATGCAGCTTGATCTGGTAGTGCTGAATTGCCTCTGCTAGTCCTAATCTTTTGCTCTTTCATTTCTTTTCCCAACTGTCTCAGTATCTGATGCTGTTTTAGCTCAAATCTATTTATGCTTTATCAAGGCTAATTAGTGCCTTAGAAACAACCAGTATAGTCACTGCAAAAACAATTTGTGGGTTTAAACAAGATAAGTCAATAAGAGAAGAATGCTGTCAGAGTATACCCTAGAGCTGTCTGATGTTCTCAGGTGGAGTCATTCTTGGTGGTGGTGGTGGTGTTTTCTTTGCTTTCACTTCCTCCTTGATCACCTGACTACTTCTTCTGTCTCTTTTGTCTTCATACATGGCATGTTTCATGTTAACCTCTTCCTTTATTAAAAGGAGATCAAGAATTGATGATGCTGTTGCCTTTGCCTTTGTCATTTCCAGAGCTCTGCTTCTCCATGCGTGTAGTTCTCTATTTGAGGAATCTCTTGATTCCAGTGCTCTCCTTTTGCTTGTTGTATTCAAATCGATGAGGCTGCCCTAGTCCTAACAGCGATGGGCTGAATGTTGCATCTGTTGCTCTTCCCTTGTGCTTCCCATTAGCTGCCTAGAATAGCCCTGCACGGCCTGATAGAACATACTGCTCGGTTCTCCACCTCTGTGCCTGCAAAGCAGGGCCACAGATATTGATTTCTGAGCCTCTCTTGCTAATAGTGCATGCTGCAAACAAATGGAATGTGCGACTGGATTTGTCTGGTACGGGACTCGCCTGGTCTGGGTGAGGTACAGAACTGGGAGAGATTACGTGGCAGTGAACTCGGTGAATAGTTCTGCAGTCACACCTGGGTATCATTCAGACTCCCTTGAGCTGCCAAGGGTTAATCTGAGAAATGTGTAGTAGCACAAGATGCCTCATAAAACTAAAGCATCTGTCTTGGGCATCTGGCTGTGCATGTTTGCCAGTTTTCATACCGTACTTGCCATGAGAAATTAGTTACTGGAGTTGGGAATATCCTTGCGTCAACGGAGTGCTGTAGTTAAGACTTTTACTTTCTCTTTCCTTAAGGAACCCTGAGGACCTTGCAATATGAATAATTCTCTGGAGAACACCATTTCCTTTGAAGAATACGTCCGTGTGAAGGCACGAACAATCCCCCAGCACAGGATGAAGGAGTTTCTGGACTCCCTGGCTTCCAAGGGGCCAGAAGCTCTGCAGGAGTTTCAGCAGACAGCCACCACCACAATGGTGTATCAGCAGGGTGGCAACTGCATTTACACGGACAGCACAGAGGTGGCTGGGTCTTTGCTTGAACTTGCTTGTCCTGTGACAACCAGTATGCAGCAGCAAACTCAGCCAGAGCAGCAGATACAGGTTCAGCAACCCCAGCAAGTACAGGTAAGTGTCCGAAATCCTCTTTAAATGTATCTATGACTTGCTAACCCGTGGAGTAGTGCTCAGAGCTGGCTGCTGTCTAACCTGAAGCCTCAGACAAGTACTTAAGAGGCAGGACCAATTATCTTTATATAGAACAGCACTATTTTCCTTTCATTTAAGGAATTTGGTAGTAAATTTCTCTCTTGACTGTGCCTCCCTCGTGCCCCGCTGTAGGAGGAGCAGCGTACATAGCAATGGAGTGGTGTCACCTTTTGGAGAAATGGTCGGCAGTTCTGGCGCGTACACAACTCCCGAAGCCTTGTGCTCCAAAGCTGCTATAAATACCACCCTCCTCTGCCTGTCTGACTATCTGGCTGTTTAGGGTGGCTGTGGGATCTAACTTGCCTTCAGGATTTTTTTCTTTTTATGAAATCAGTTATTTTTAAATGGTTTTACTTGAACATTCCAAAAGTTGTCTTTCTTGAACTGGCTTTTGAGTGAGGGGGAAATGCAAGGGAGTCAACTTAGGATATGAACTAGGAGACAATACATTTCAGGAAAGGAACTCCATATATGCATATGCATCAAGGTGGATCATCCTTTTGCACAGTGGAGGGAATTGTCTTAATTATGTTTTTTTAGTATGTACTACATTAGGTATTTTATTAAGTATTTAATGAGAAAATCCAGCACCAGAGGGGAAAAAGACCCCAAAAGTATAACTTAAGATAACTGCTTTTGTCCTCAGACACATTTTGTAATTTGAAGAGTTCATAGGTGGCAGAACTAAGGTTTTCTTATGATAATGTCTCCAGACAGCTGAACTCTGTCTACAGCTGTAATTCTGCTACTCTTCTGCCTTCCATAGCAGAATGGAGAGGTGTGAGCTCTTCTTTTACAACAAATGAGGGTATGGAGCCACAAATAACTGGAGATAAGGTAGTGGGAACTTGGTGCAGTGCAGTAGACTTGTGCTAACAGCTCACTTGTGTGCTTTTATCCTACAGCAAAGACAAACTTACCTCCTTCGCTGGTAACTCATCTCCAATTACTCTCTATTGAGAAAATGAATGCTTAACTGGAACTTCTGCAACCTGTTGCCCTACAGTAACTTGTGTTGAAAGGCTTTTGAAGAACAAAAGCCTCTAGTCTTGTAGACATGACTTGGATCTCTGCATGAGTCTATTAAAACTGATCAAGAGTGGTTTTGATTCTGCCAGCTACTATGTTTTTTGGAAGAAGTTTTGTTTTTCAGTGGAAGAACTAGGAGGGTTGGCTTTTGAGTGCCTCAACCTTGAAGATGTGGAAGGCCCCCAAACCAATTGTAAAAGTCAAAAGGAATCTCTTTTTTTATTTCCTCTAATTTTTTCCTGCTGCCGCCTCCTTTCAGAACTACTCAAAGTTCAGGCTTGACCCTTGCAAGTATTCTAGTAACAGAGGTAGGGAGGGAGGTCATATATCATATACTCCAGAGAAAAATAACCTGACCTTCTTGGAAAAAAGCAGAGTTGCTGCCAGCAACCTGTTCCTGATTTTTAAACTGAATGGCCTGCACTCTGAATATGAAAAATTTCTGACCAAAGTCAAGATTTCAGCAACTTTTCCCGAAGAATGTTGTCTACTATCTCCTCCTTGGTTTTGATGTGCCTCTGCTTTTAGATGTCTGCTTTCCCATCTGTCAGTACAGACCATAATTAGCGCTTGTGTTGCCTACCCTGCTGCTCACTTCAGGGTGTTACAACCCCTAAGAACACTTAGTGGCACATCTGGTACTAGATATAGCTGCAGCTTTTGTGCATTAGCAGGGCAGTTGGACTCAGGTGTATTTGATCAGCTAGCTCAGAATTATCCTGAAGTTTTTCTGTGAGAATAGAGTGGAAAAAAATGTCTTTACCCCTTTGCAAGAGTGTTTTTCTGTCTCTCGAGATTTGTTATTGAGACATGATTTACATTAAACCCACGATTTAGTGTTCACTTGTCTTTGGACTGTCACTGTGTCAGCAGTGGCAGAGCACAGGGTCTGAATGAAGCTGAATTTTGTTGTGGCTCTGAGGAGTGACAGTTCCCGTAGAGCAGTACACCTGGTCCAGCTGGCTCCCTCTGCTAAAATACTACTTGTGTTGTATTATGAAAAATTTTGGTCGTCTGCCGAAGCCTCTTAGCTTTTGATTAAACTTGTGTCATCCCAGTACTTGACTCGATAATCTGTTTAGTTCTTGCTAATCCAGTTGCAGATCAGTGGAAGACCCTTTGAATGACTGTGCTTATGTCTGGCAGTGTGACAGTGCTGCTGAAGGTGGCTAATAATACGACCAGTCAGATGACCTCACAGTTGCAAGTGCTAATGATGACCTTATGATCGTAGGGATAGACAGTGCTCAGGTTTCATCCTGGGTTTTACTTGCTGTGGACAATCAAAGACAGTGTTTGACTGCTTGCTGCTTTTATTTATCCTGGCAAAATAAATTTCCTGTTTGAAGAAGTTGCCACCTCAGTATTTTCTTGCCTAAAAGGTTCAACAGAGTGTTGCCAAATGTTTATTTTAAAGGCTGAGTGGACGCAACTGTTGGGTCGTACACACAAGTCGGTGCCACAGTTCAAATGTCCTGGAGCTCCTTCCACACCCAGTACCACAGAGGGCGATTAGTGGTCTTAAGAAAGAGTTTAGCATGTCAAGTTGTCACACCTTGTGCTGCATCAGGGGGTGGCTGGGAAGGGCTGTGTTTTGCTCCAGTTAAGTAAGAGTTTTATCAGCCCTACCTTTGGTGAGATTGTTACTTGTTGGTCCTGTGCATTGAGGCCATGGGATTGGTGATGCCAGCAGGAAGAGGTGTCAGCGCTGACTTGCTTACTGAATACGGTGTTTCCGCAGAGGTCAGCGAACCTCTTGTGCCTCTTCCTCTTCCATGAGAAGGTTTAACTGAAGTAATATCAGAGGACAGAAAGTATCTTTGCTTAGGAAGCACATGGGGAAGATCCTCAGTTTCAGCTTTTTATGAACAGGCTGATGTCTAGGTGGCAAGAGTTTCTTGGCCAGGGCTTGAGGGGAGGATGGTACAGGTAAGCAGATCACAGAACTGTGTAAGGAATAGTTAAAGACCTGTGTAAAATACCTTTCAGTTAAGACTTGGAGGTACAGTTCCTATTATGTTTGAAAAACATGCCAGGATGTTTTTTGTGTAGCATCAGGTATTAATTAGCATTTGCTAGGGCTGAGTGGAACACTTCGAAGAGTGGTTATAGTCAAGAGTGTTGTTTTTGAGGTAGCACCTACTTGTATATGGAAGTAGGGTTCTATTGCAGAGATTCTTGGTTCATTTTTTTTAACTGTCTTAGGCCTAAATCCCGCTCCAGTGTACAGTTTGACAGCATAATCTTGATATTGTAACTGTTCAAACACACCCAAGGCCTAATTTGACTGATGGAATTCTCTTTCTGATGTTGATGAATGAGCAGAGGAAAAACCTGGAGTGAAAATCTATCTGGCAGTTGTTCTGAAAAGCTGACTTGTACCCTTCCTGTAGACCTTGTTTACTTAGATAGCAAAGGACTTCCTGTAAAGTAGTTAAATAACAAGTTCCAACATTTCCTGCTACTTCACTGATCAGTGTTTTCACTTACTCTATACTTTAAATCTGTTTTGTACTTGCACATACACTTTCTGCTGTAACATTAGAAGGATTTTTTTGTTACAGTGTTAGTTTCTAGTGCTGGACTCTAGCTTAGAACTGTTGAAGGAAGTGTGTTTTAAGCTTTCTGTCCTTAAACTGGGCTAAAAAAATTGAGATTACTCTTCTCACACTCTCATAACTTTTTGTCCAAGTGTTTGACTTCGTGTGGGAAGTTTGAGATGCACCCACATTACTTCTGGGGGGGATTTGGGGCATACTTGTCATAGGAAGTTGGCCACCTGCCCCTTCTTGCTGATTGTAAGTTTGGAGCCTGTCACTTGGGGTTCCCTCCAGACAAAGCCAAGCTGGAAGATGTCATCTTGTGTCTCGATGTTTGTCAAGGTTGGCTAGTGGGCAAGACTAGACCTAAATTTGAAATAGTCTTCTGGAATGTATAGTGTGGACATTGTTAATAGGTTTTCAGTCTTGCTCTGAGGTCTGTTCTTGGTGTGGACTTCCACTTGATACTGTAAATGTAGCCTCAGAATCCAAGATCTCTTTGCGAAAAGAAGCATTCAAGAGCATGCCAGGTGCTCCAGGGTGAGCTGGATATCAGAAAATCCATGCAGGAAAGAGTTGGTACTTGCTCATTTGGAGTTAGGTCGTCCAGTCAAGTCCACAGATGAAAGGATTACCAAGCAAAGGAAATCTCAATTGTTTCAGTACTGCAGTTCTGCAGTTTGATTCCTTTTTGGGCAGAGAATCTGCACAGGGCAGATGTGTTACGAATCCTACTTGGAAGTTTGTCTATCAACCATGAGGAAAAAAGTTTTGGCAACCAGGCTTCAGCTGTTCTCATGCTTGTGGGGTTACTTATTGACTCTTTGTGTGTGCTCAGTTGAGGAAGAATATGTTTTTGATCTTAATGTGACAGAAGATTTCCTTTAAGGGAATCTTAAAAATTTAGTTCTGCCCTCCTGTTTCGGTACAGGGCTGATTTCTAATGCTTTTGATTCTCTAGTCAGCTAGTACTTGATCCAGCTTCTAGCTACTTCATGGTGAAAAGGCATTTCTTTGTGATGGTAGCCTGCTGGGAAGTGATTCTTTTCATGCTGCTGGATCCAGACTTCTGGCAATAAGTAATTTTTCAGTACTGGTAACTTCACATGTTTCTCTCTTGCACCAGTATAACCCAGGAATTCTAAGCATAACATTTTTGCTTTAATCTTCAGCATAAAGTGAAGATTTAAGATCCTCCCTGTTGGTCTTGGCCTGTAAATTTAAAACATTCCTCTTTGTACAGAGTCTTTTAAAAAATCATCTCCTGATGATGTTTAGTGTAATTCTTTGTCTAATTCACTATCTGAGTTAAAAAAGGACAATGAGGTCAATGTAAGAAGCTCTGGTCTCAGACTGGGTGAAGCCTGTAAATTTGAAATTAATGCTTGTAGCCCTCCTGGGTACAACGTACTTGAACATAGAGAGGGATTTACTGCAAGATACAGTTGTTAAAAATGGATGTAATTCACAGGGGATGCGTAATACATGGTAGGTAAAGCTCCAGTATCCTTTTAAATAGGAGCAGCCTCTCGTCAGAAGCATATCTGCAGTTTGCAGCATGGAGAACTTCAAGTGATTCTAGAGTCTGACTTCATCTTGTTTGGGTCTGAACTCATTCTCTGGGTGTTAACAATAACAGGGTTGGCTCTAAAGCAGTAGCAAGACTACAACTCCCAGTTGTAGGAGTTAGAATTTAGTCCTGGGGAGTATCATAGACCTGTCCTTATTTAAGAGGCATTTAGACAAGGCCCTTAACAGCAGAGCTGTTTGATCAGCCCTGGAGCGGTCAGGCAGTTGGGCAAGGTGATCAGTGTAAGTCCCTTCAAACTGAAACAGTCTCTTGGACAAAAGCAGAAGGGAGCAAATGCTCTCTTGTGGCATTTGTTCTTAGACCAGGCCTCTTGCTGACAATGCCTCTCGCTTTAACCTCTTCCGTTACCTTTCTAATTGCACTTATGTGATAAAATTGTGTCAGTGCAGGAGCAGACTTTGAATTCTTACTGCTAGCAGAAAAAAAATTATTTCCTTTATATATGTTATGGCACTAACAGGAACTGTTATGTAAAATTGTGTATGGAAAGAAGGTGGGGATACTTTTAAGGTGCTCTCAGTCAACCTGTGCATATTCTGAAAGCATTACAGAAGCACAGGGCAAATGCCATGTTTGCCTGTTTCTGTGATTTTGAATCCTAGCAGGTAAAGCAAGTGTTTCTTGTTTGAAACTGAAAATAAATCAGTGCAGTAATGCATTAATTTTGAAACTGAAAATAAATTAGTGCAGTAATTCATTAAGTTTCTGCAGTCTTTGACCTTTGCCTTGCAGATAATCTTTTGAACAAGGACTTAAATTAGTACTAAGGACTATATTAGTGATTTTTTAAATTGAATATTTTAGAGAATATTTGCCTTAGGGATGTGATTGCAAATGGCTTCCTTAAACTGAACTCTTACCTGGGATCCATGCTAGAGCCTGTTTGCCCAAGGCAGTATTCATGCTGCAAGGCAATATGATATCAAATAGAATGGAGGAAACATCCCATAGATGACTTTTCTTTTTCAGTTAACTGCCTGATCACATTACTAATTGATGCAGCTTTTTAAACTGTCGTGCTGACATAAGGTTACATGTTTCTTGTTACCTTGCAGGAAATTATTATAGATAGTCCACGTCATCAGGATTACAGTATACACATAGTTCCCAGAAGGAAGTGTACCCTATTCTTCCTGGAAATAAATTAATTCTTAAAAGGAGATGACTTATAAAATTGACCCACAAGTGTTGCGTTTTTCTACCCCACTTTTTTCCTTAGCAGCTCTTCAATTGGCTGAAATTGGCTGTAAATGAATCCTTAACATTTTTCAAGACTTCTTATAGAAGATGTTGGGAAGTGAGATTCTGTGCAATGCAAACCTGCATGACAGTTCTCTGTAGTATTGTCAGGTTGGCTACTAGTGTGGCATCTCTGTGCAAATGCTGCGTTAGCTTGACCAGCTCCAGGGAGTGAGGTGGAAAAAGGTGAGAGAGTGTGAGTAGGAAGACGTAGTTTTGCAACTAAGTAAGTCTGTGTTGCCTCCAGAGAGAGTTGTTGAGTAATGAATTCCCTCCCTTAAGATAAGGTGTTAATGAAGCCTGGAGAAGCAGATGATCATGGGAACCTGGGATATCACTTCTAGGATAGGGCAGATGTGATGAATTGTCTGTGTAAACATGAGGGTCATGGTGGAGAAGTGTCTGGACAAGGAGAGCAGGGCTCAGAGCTCAGCACCCTGGGAGTGAAGATACCAGAGGAGTTGGGTTTGGGGCCTGGGATGTGAAGCAGTTCAGACTTGAACTTTGTGTGGGGGGGCTACCTCTGACTCCTGGCTTTGAGTCTACCCCTGGGCTGCTGCTAGATATTGTGACAGACCTTGGACAAATGACCATTGATATGAGAGGGTGTGATTTATTTCTTTTGCCCTAAAATGAAAGGAACTTTGGAGGTTTGGAATCAAGTCAACATGTTTTGTTTGTTTTATTCAGCATTGTGTAAGTGCATGAGCTAGAAAATACAACTGAGTAGTTTGGACAATAAATGGCATTAAATGGAATAAGTAAATGAAAAAAAAAATGATTTTAATTATAGTTGCCAAAAAAATACTTCTGAAGTTTAAAAAACAAATGCTGCAGTGTTGGCCCTTAGCGCATGACAAAGATTGAGGTTGAACTTGCAGCCTTCTGTGCTAACACCTGCTTGTGTAGCATTACTATCAGTGGTTGGTTTAGAAGTAATATCCCTGTGCTTTATGTAGAAAGAGCCAAGTGCTGTTTTCAACTTACCCATATTTTCTACTGCCTGCAAGTGATCCTGCATCCGTCTGGGGACCGGGGTGGGAAGTAGTGTAACAATCTTTAGAGCATGGGAAGCCTGAGGTGAGCTCCTGCAATTGTAATGTGTGTGACCTTAAAGTCTTGCTATTGCAGGGCCTGTGCTGAAGTAACATTTTAGCAGTACAGATAGGTCTGAAGACTCTTTTGGCTTCCAAGGATGCAGTCTGTTGGCTTGAGCCCGCAGAGCTTTGAGGGTGGAGATGTAGCTCATGTACTGTTCTGTCTGTGCTTAGAAGTGGGGTCATGTGCAATGCTGAGCAAACACATCTACCATCTTGCTGTTATCAACCAGGCATTTCTGGAATAACTTGGTTTCATTTTCCTGAGATCTTTACTAATGGATTAATATATGGAATCATAAAACTGAGCATAAAAGATGTGGAGCATAAGTCTTCAGTGATGGACCGTCTCTGTTGAATTGCTGATGCTTGCTGATGTCTAACTGCTGGTTGGTGTCGTTGCAGGTTCAGGTCCAGGTCCAGCAGTCACCGCAGCAGGTCTCCGCCCAGCAGCTCTCTCCGCAGCTCTCTGTCCATCAGGCTTCGGAGCAGCCAATACAGGTCCAAGTGCAGATCCAAGGCCAGGCTCAGCAGCAGGCATCCCAGACAATACAGAGTCAGTCTCTTCAGAGCCCCAGCCCATCGCAGCTGCAGGCAGCTCAGATCCAAGTGCAGCATGTGCAGACTGCCCAGCAGATCCAGGCTGCGGAGCTACAGGAGGAACACATACAACACCAGCAGATCCAGGCCCAGCTTGTGGCAGGACAGGCCATTACTGGTGGCCAGCAGATACAGATCCAAACAGTCGGGGCACTGTCACCTCCTCCTTCTCAACAAGGCTCCCCACGAGAGGGAGAGAGGCGGATCAGCTCTGCCAGTGTCCTTCAGCCAGTGAAGAAACGTAAAGTGGATATGCCTATTACTGTGTCATATGCTATTTCAGGGCAGCCGGTTGCCACAGTGCTGGCCATTCCTCAGGGCCAGCAGCAAAGTTACGTCTCTTTAAGGCCAGACTTGTTAACAGTGGACAGTGCCCACCTGTACAGTGCCACTGGGACCATTACTAGCCCCACTGGAGAGACTTGGACCATCCCTGTTTACTCCGCTCAGCCACGTGGTGACCTTCAGCAGCAAAACATAACCCACATTGCCATCCCTCAGGAGGCCTACAATGCCGTCCACGTCAGTGGCTCACCAACGACACTGGCTACCGTGAAGCTGGAAGATGACAAGGATAAGATGGTGGGAAGCACTTCAGTAGTGAAGAACTCTCACGAGGAAGTGGTGCAGACTCTTGCTAATTCAATCTTTCCGGCACAGTTTATGAATGGCAACATCCACATTCCAGTGGCAGTGCAGGCTGTGGCAGGGACATACCAGAACACGGCACAGACGGTGCACATATGGGACCCGCAGCAGCAACAGCAGCAGCCCACACCCCAGGAGCAAGGGCAGCAGCAGCAGCTACAAGTTACTTGCTCAGTAAGTTAAAACTACTTCTTGGTCTCAGTCTGTGATTACAACTTGCAAATGTGGTGGAGAGGGAGCATGTCAACAGACAGCTGGTGTCTGGGAAGCAGAGATGTGATTGTCCCAGTAGCCTGGGCATGACATAGGGTACTGGATAGGTGTAAGACTGCAGCAATGTGTTACTATTGGTACACAATTATAGGATTCAAAACTGCCCAAGAGAAAGTACAGTTTTGATCTTCGTAGTGTAAATAAATAGATACCTGCTCATTGCCAGCTTCTTCATAGCAGGTCTGCAGTATTCTCCTGAGCTGTTTCAGAGGTTGCAGTGGACAGGCAGGGATGATTGCAGCCAAGTAAGGTGTGCAAATATATACTAGTCATCTAGTTATCAGTTACTTTGTTATGTGGGACCAGTGCCCGGCTAAAGTGTCGAAATCGGACTAGTTGTGAGCAAACTTCCTGGATCAAGTGTAGCTATCTAGCACCATGTCCTGCTTCTGGTAAGTACCTGGTGTTCAAGGGCATAATAACGAGCAGTGGCAAGGAAACACCTCTTCATAGTCTGTGGCAGACATGGCAGCCACATTTGTTGGTGTTTTTTAAAGGCTTTGTTGCCAACTTTAAGCCACAGATTATTTCAAACGGACTTTTAAAACTTGAATGACTGGGGCTATTACTGGTCTCTCTTAAATGTGCAAATGGATGTAACTGACTTTTTTTATTACCAGAAAGTGAAAAGTGGTTGATCTGTCAAAGCCTTTTTTTGCTGAATGGGATGAGGGCAAAAATACCTGAGCCTGCTAGCGTACCTGTTGGCACAAATTCTTTCCAGTTCATAAATAGCATTGTTGGCTTTATAAAGGTGCCTGTGCCCTCTGCTTTATCAGTAAGCACTGAGACAAGGAGGATTGCTTGCTGTAGTCATGTCTGATCATTTCTAACTTGATCATGGGCTACAGCCCATCAAGGTCTTCACCAAAAAGGGTTCCCTACAGCTCTAGATAACTTTCAGATCCTGAATGCCCTGTTTTGTAAAGCTGTACATTAAGCCACAGCTTATGGATCTTGTAATGCATGAGGGGTTTTGTGGTTGGGGTTGTTTGTTTGTTTGTTTTATCACATTCAAAGAGCCTTCTGTAATTCATCTCTTCCCCTTATGGGTAATTCAGAGATCACTTCACTTACAGTTGCTTAAACAAACTAAATTGATAGAACTTTTTGCCTTTCTTGTAAATAGGATTTTTAGACTTGCTGTAGGGTCTTTTAAGAGCATGAGCCACATTCTTAGGAGTCTTTCTGAGGTATTAGCTCCATAATTTCTTCAATAGTTACTTGTAAAGCTTCTGCTGATGCTGTGTATTCCTGTGTACAGTGGTCTGCAATTCTTGGGTATCAGACAGTTTTCTGATCCCAGTTCTATAGTGTGTGAGGTATGGCATAAGCCTCTAAATACAGAGGCAATTTCATAAGAGATGCACTCTAAGAGGCCAATAAAGCTACTATAGGGGAACATCAGACTTTTGGGAGTTGTCCCTCTCAAAGCTGAGAGGGGGAAAAAAAAGCTGTCCGTGAAACTGAGAAGGAATTTGCCTGCCTGCCCTGCACTGTCCTCTGGCATTGTGCTTTTGTGGAATCTGGGCAAGTTGCAGCTATTTTGCTCTATTTGTGAAAAATATAAGTCTGTTAAGAAACAGCTGTCATATTAACTCCAGACTGTGTCCAGTCTTCATGCTGGGCAAGGTGTCTGAGGTCAGGGCAGAACACTGTCCCTTGGGTTGGGCTGAAGGAGGGGCTTGGCTCTGGGAAGCTTTCAGCTCTCCGGAAAGTAATGGAACACCTTTCTGGAGGGGAGCAGAGGCTCAGTCCTGGCTCCTACAACAACGAGGTGTCAGTTCACCCTTGGACTCTGTCCTCCTTAAGGCAAAGGCTCTACTTCACAACTTAAACTTTGTCGCCATCTGCCTTGATTAAAGCTGGGTCCTTTCAGTCTCTGCAGCTGTGCTACACACTGCTGCTGCTGCAGGGGATGGTGAGCAAAAAGCTCATAAGAGCTAATGGAGAAAATGAAAAGCCAGCCATAGGCAGTTGGAAAACTCCAGTCTTGAGATTCTTGCAGACTTTGCCTCTTAAACTGTTTGGTTGGTTTGTTTGTTTATATGAAGTAAGGTACAGGTATTTAGAGTGTCTCTGCCATTTTTGTTGTGGTTTCTAGTCCTGTCAGAACAATTTTCACTAATATTGACGATTGGCAGTATCAAAGGAAAAGTTTCTTTTTGGGGTAACTTTTAAGAAAGAAAGCAAAACTGTTCTGATATAAGAATTGCTATCTCTGTAACTTTTAGCATGCTAGTGAGAGCTTGACTAAGGTCTGTAAAGCCCTTAGTTGAGGTAGCTACAACACTTTCTGTGGCATGGAATTGAGAAGCTGTAGTGAAGAATGCAGAGTGGGTGCAGCTGGAGGGCTCACTGCTGGTTTTGGATTGGTGCCATTGGTTGCCTGACAAGTAAGTTTCAGTTTGAGGCAGTAATTCTCGGTGACCTAAGGTCGTGCTGCAAAGTAAACTTCCAAAGGGTGTGGAGATGTCTTAGGGTCTGTAATCATAGTGGGTTGTATTCACACAATAGTGGGTTGTACCAGTATTTGGTATTTTGAGAACATCGCCTTGCAACTTAATTGATGTTTTGATGCTGGTGTTCTAGTCTAATTGCTTTAGATCTCTTATAAATGAATTAATCTTATCTGTTGTCGAGGATAAGAACAGAGTGTATTTATTCTGTGTGCCTGTTATGTACTGCACAGTGAAAGAGAGCCTGAGTGGGGAGGGATGCCTGCCGTGTACAGCAAATGTACAGTTGTATACCCCAAACCCTCCTCAGGGCAGTTCAGGTGTGGAGCAGCAGTGCTTAGAAAAGCTGATGTCACCTTCCTCTTCATCCCTGCCAGGGCTGGCAGTCTCTGCAGCTGCTGTGTCTGCGAGGGGCCATGTGCCACTCTTGTAGTGAGGTGGACTTTAGTGGTGGTTCAGTGTGACGAGTTAACTGAAGAAAGATGTGCTCCTTCAAACTAAAAGTGTTCCTGGAGAGTGGAATACTCTTTTGAGCAGCAATTCAGGTTGGACAGCAAAAGTTGCATTCCTTGAGTTTAACTCCTTTTGTTAGAGAGGAGTGATGCAGAAAGCTGGTGTCCTGGGGCTAGAGATAATTGTGGCATTACTTGTTTTTTGTCCCGCTGTTGCACACCGAAGTGGGTGCATATAAACTGAAGTGTTTTCTTTCATAGGCTCAAACTGTTCAGGTTGCTGAAGTTGAACCACAGCCACAGCCGCAGACTTCACCTGAACTTCTACTTCCAAACTCTCTGAAGCCAGAGGAAGGTCTTGAAGTGTGGAAAAGCTGGGCACAGACCAAGAATGCAGAGCTGGAAAAAGAAGCTCAAAATAGACTAGCACCTATTGGACGTAAGTGCCATGCCAACATGGCCTTTGTTTCCTTTCAAGTAGGATTAGGAATGACTAAAATGTTAGGTGTTTACCACTCTGGAAAACACTTTTGTTTAGTCAGTGATTGTTTTTAAATCTAAACTCTGCAATATGAATTATGGTGTACTCCCACTGCCACAGGACATGTCTCAAGGGAGATATTAGCTCAGTGCTGAGCCCCCTTGAGCACCTGGTAGCAGTAGAAAAGGGCACTGCAGGAGTGCGGTGCATGGATGAACAAACAGGCTGTGAATGCCAGGCAAGCTGGTAGAGCAGTCACAGAGTTGCTATTTTCATGTTGCTGCAGGGCAACATTTCATTGTGAACATAGTAATAGAAGGCAATAGTCATGTCTTTGGCAGGGCAGAGGATCTTTGTGTTAAACTCTTGCCCATTTATCTTTTAGGAGATCTGACAGCCTAAGGTCTTGATTTATTTGAACTTACTTTACTGTACTGGGGGAATGAGGTACTACTGGACCTGCCAGATAGAATAAGGAAGCTGGAGATGTGGGAAATCATTCCTGAAATATTGGGAAATAATATAGCTTTATGGCTTAAATAATACAGCTTTTGTTCTGTTTTTCCAGGGCGTCAGCTGCTGAGGTTCCAGGAAGATCTCATCTCTTCAGCTGTGGCTGAGCTGAATTATGGTCTGTGCTTAATGACACGAGAAGCTCGGAATGGTGATGGTGAACCCTATGATCCAGATGTGCTCTACTATATCTTCCTGTGTATTCAGAAGGTAGGAGAGGACACCTCTATGTGCTGCAGGGCTGTGCGTGTTGTCAGCATGTATAGGGAGAACTCTTGGTTATGATAATGGAGACTGTGACTTCTATTAAGTTTCCCAACAATTTTATATGAAAAAAGTCTCTCTGCCTAAAAAAAAAAAAAACCCAAACAAAAAAACCCCACAAAACAAACCTCAGATGACTTGTCATTAGTGCACAGCAGTGCTTTCACCTGTGAGTGAAATTGTTAATAATTGAATTGTTAATAATTGAGTTCAATATCATGGTGAGAATAATAAATCCTTTTAATTTTTTTAGCGGGAGGAGGAGGGTTGGATGATGTTTGAAGAAGTTGTCGATGTCAAAACCTAATCTAGTTGAAGCTTTAACAGGCAAGAACTTAACTTTGTGTGGTGTGGGAAATCTGAGCTGGTAATGCTAGAGTGCTTTCTGGAAAAGCTGCAGGAACAGAGGTAAACTCTGACAGGGGAATTGAGCATCTCTGTCAATAACCTGAAAAAGTGATGTCCAAAGAACAGTCATGTGAAATAACTTGGATTGAACACATCTGACTGGCTCCCACTGTACTGGACTGTGTTGTGAATGTCTTACAGTATCTCTTTGAAAATGGCCGAGTCGATGACATCTTCTCTGATCTCTACTATATTCGGTTCACTGAATGGCTGCACGAAGTTCTCAAGGACATACAGCCCCGTGTTTCACCTCTTGGTAAGGACTTTTGTTTAAGAACTTAAAAAATTTCAGTTTGGAATGTTTAAACTGAACCTACCTCTCGAGTGTAGTCTGAATAGAAACCCTTTTGAAGTATTTGCTGTCCCTAGGGCAGCTTGTGCTAGTCATGGAGAAGAATGTTGCATCTTTAGTGAATGCTGGGGGTACTGCACTTGTCAGGCTCTAGCCCTGACTGTTGCTGAGCATTATTTTCTGTCACTTGTCACCCGTCAGAAGGCAGATTTTTGGGACTTTGTAATGTGTCGCGAGATTGGCCTACTTGGAAGCCATCTGATCCTTGATTTGAATCAAGCTTCCTCATCTGAAGTGCTAGTACATCTTGCCTCTAATATGTATTGTTACTTTGGGAGATAATACAGCACTGTCATGGTGCCATGGAGCCAGATGGATACTGTCTGCAGGACCAACTGAGTGTCAAAGTCAAAAAACAATGAGTGATTAGAGCCTCCAGTGCTGCAATCAGTTGCAGCTCAACCTTGTGTTCAGGAGATGATGGCAATGGGGGTGGCAGAGCAGTTCCAGAGGAGGCAGATTTTGACAGAGTTGCATATGAGAAGTAGATCAAGAATTGCATTTTCAGAGCATGGAAACCTGGTTTCTCATTGCTTCATTCCCTTTGATCAGACTGGACATCAGTGAAGAAGCTATTGCTTGTGTTCAGAAAAGTAGCTGATGTTTACAGGCTAGATGACTAAGTAGCACCATGAGTTTTGGAATCCTTTTGTTTTCCCTCTGGCTGTTTGATCTGTGCTTTGTCATTCCACAAGCCCTGGAGTTCATAGTGCTGTCTGTTTTTCTGTATATCTGTGTATTTGGAGTATAGTATTTCTCTTCTACACAAAAGAAAAAAAAATATCTGAGAATCAAAGGATTACTCATGTGTCCAAATGCATCACTTGGCACTGTGTGCTGACTAAAGCTGTGCACAAGGCCAAGAGCTGATTTGTTACACTGGCCTGCCTGCTCTCACATATTATTGGATTAAGAGCATCTGCATTGGAGTCGAGCCATTAATTAAAAGCTGTTAAAGTGCGTATTTGTTTCTCTATGGGTTAGGATGTAAAGGCATATTGCAGAAGCACACTCTCTGCAGCTAGAGGTTGATGTAGGTATATGAGTGTTTCCTAACTGTACCTGCTATTTAAAAAGTTGTTTGCACAGCAGTGAATCTTGACATTAGTGAGAATCTCCTCCTTTTCTTTCCCTTAAGATTTATATGCTCTTCAGTACTTACAGACTATAAAATGCTGTGTTCATGCTGTGTCTTGCCGTGATGCTGACTTCTGATTGTTGCAGGTTACATCCTCTCCAGTCACGTAACAGAGGAAATGCTGTGGGAGTGTAAGCAGCTTGGAGCTCACTCCCCTTCCACCTTGCTCACTACACTGATGTTTTTCAATACAAAGTAAGTACTTAAATCTTTGGGAATCTTGGGGAATAAAAGAACTTCAGACGCCGTGACAGGGTTGATGGGGAACTGCTGCACTGGATCAGGGTGAAATCACGGGTTTTGAATAGTTGCACACAGAGCCCTCTTGCAGCCCCATCAGGCAAAGAAGATGCAGTACAACAAGAAAGTGAGCTAGCAGAGAGCAAACTGAATTTGTAGCTGTTGCATGCTTTGCTGCTGAAAAAGGCTTTAACTCAGTGGTTGGTTTGAGTTTCAGCCTGCTCGCAGTAATTAAACATAACTATCTTGCTGTTATGACTGTATCCTTTACTTGCCTCTGAATGTCTTGTGCTCTGTTCTTGCTGCTCAGATACTTCCTGTTGAAAACAGTAGACCAGCACATGAAGCTGGCCTTCTCCAAGGTGCTGAGGCAGACCAAGAAGAACCCTTCTAATCCCAAGGATAAAAGCACGAGTATCCGCTATATGAAGGCTCCAGGCATGCACCAGACAGGACAGAAAGGTAGTGTCTAGTAGTTTTCTTTGGGGATATTTTACTTACTTGGGCTTGAAGAAGTGGATGAACCTGGAGATGTTTGCAGGTAGGGAATCCAAGGCTCTGACAGTTACCTTCAGCCCGGCAGTCTTGAGTTTTCTGTGTATTCTGGTTCAAGAGAGCATAGTACCTTCTAATCATAAGCCTGGGGACATACCTTACCTCAGGCATATGAGACTCATCAAGAACTAAGGATAACTTCTTTGTTACTTTTGTTTTTTTATGGGCAAAGAGGCTATTGGGTGTAAGTGCTTATGAAGATACGGAGAAAATTCTTTGGGAGGGCTTCTCTTACCTTGATTCATGTGAACCCATACAGAACCCCTATGTAAGTACAATCTCTCCTCTTAAAAGCACACGATGTAGCTGAGGTATTGCAGTCTCAGAGAGAGTTCCCTTTTTTTGGGCACTGGTAGAGGAGAAATTGAAAGAAGGATATGGATGGGTTGTGAACTTCAGTAGCCTTGAGATAAAGCAAACTCTCCATATAATGCTTTGAGCATTTACAGCCAGGTGCCTCTGCCCTGGAACAGCCATATGTTTCTTGCCAGCTCTTGCATGGTGACAAGGTGCTGCAGAGTGCTGAGGCTGTACGGTACTGCTCGGTGTGCTGTGCTTACACACTGACACAATTCTGGGGGGCTGGTTTGTAGTTACAGATGACATGTATGCAGAGCAGACCGAGAATCCAGAGAACCCCCTGAGGTGTCCGATAAAGCTGTATGACTTCTACCTCTTCAAATGGTGAGAGCTCTTGTCCATGTGTGTGGGGCTTGTCTGCTGTGACTGGGGAACTGCACCCTGTGGCTGGCCTAGTTCTCAGGACTGTGTGTTATTGCTGGCACAGTTTCTGTGTTTGCCTGAATTTACTTAAATGGGGAGGGTGTCGATGTGAGAGGGTGGGCATTACTCTGATGGCATGTAAATTGAACTTCTGGGGTATTTAAGAGACAAATCCTGATTTGTGAACTGGCTGCTCCTAATCTTATATTTGGAGGTTTGCAGTGTTGGCATGAGCTCGCTCTTTTGCCTATGAGTTGCAAGTCATCTTGGAGCATCCACTGCTGGAGATGAGATTAGGGTTCTATTCAAATTAGCTTCTCAACAAAAATGAGGACTTGCTACAGAGATTGGAGAGAGGCTCAAAGGACTCGTCTCTAAATTGTGATGATTCTGATATTTAATGTAAAGGTTCCTCTTCACAGATGGGTCTGCAGGTAGCCTGAATGTGAAAATACTTCATCCTTGCTTCACTCTGAAAGACCCCTGAAGCCGTGTGTGTGTTATATTTACCAGTATGAAACAAAAATTACTTCCTTGTAGTCATCACCATGGCTTTTTAAGCTCGTCATAGCCTAAAACTTTGGGACCAATGTTGTCCCTAGGTGTACCTCTGTACCTTTATATCTCATTAGCCAGATGTTCACTGTCAGGATTTGTGAAGCCTGGGGTGAGGACAGTGGTGGTCTCTCCATTCCAGGGCATTCTGTTAGTCTGGTTATTTCTGATCTTCCTCACGCAGCCCCCAGAGTGTGAAAGGCCGGAATGACACGTTTTACTTGACACCGGAGCCAGTGGTGGCCCCCAACAGCCCTATCTGGTATTCCATCCAGCCGATCAGCAGAGAGCAGATGGAGCAGATGCTCACCCGGATCCTGGTGATACGAGAGATTCAGGAAGCTCTTGCCGTGGCTAATGCCAGCACCATGCACTAAGGCATCCTTTGTGGCTCAGAAGGGGTGGGGCAGGGTGATGGGGGAGGGACAAGCAAAGAGAAATTGTACAGACTTTTACACTAAAGGAGATGCCTAAGTTTTTGGTTTTTTATTGGTGTAGTTATGAAGCCCTTTTAGGCTTCTTCTCTTTAAAAGAATCTAAAGGAAAACCTACCCATTGTGTATCCTACCCAACACACCAAACTGTTGGAACCATTGGAGGCTGCATATCCCCTGCAAGCTGGGAGCTGTGGAAAGCTGCTGGTTGACTCTGGGTTTTTTTTTTTTATGATGTAGAAAATTTGAACTACAGGATTGGCCTGGTTGGCCGGGGCCTCTGTCTCCCTGGAGCACGTGCAGCCTAGAGGGCACAGAATGATGGATGGACCTGCTCAGCCAGTGGAGGAGAGGCAGGCATCTTCTTTTCTTGTGCTTGGACGTTAATTTGCTGATATCTTGGAAGAAAGAGGAGAGAGTGAACTGCAATTATGATTTATACAAAAAACCACAAACCAACAATTTCTATTCAGACCTTTAAGTGACATTTTTAGATGTTAAAAGTACAAACTTTACCACACTCTTCTTTTTTGGCCTAACATTGAGGCCTTAAACCTTGAGGCTTCTGTGCCTGATGGAATTCTTGTAACATACACTTGTGTATCATATAAAGATACCACCCTGTTTCTCTTATGTATTCTTACTCTAGTTGTTTATTAAGAATGACGAGCACGTCTTTTCAACATGCCATTGAACAATGTGTCTTTATTTGGGGAAGAGTGAGCTGTGAGGGTGGGGGGGTCATTATACAAAGATCAGTATGCAAACTGGTTGTTTTCATCCCTGTTTGTGCTTTCCAGCTCAACTCTGCTGGACTTCTTTCACCCCTACAAATTTTGAAGGTTGAAGGGCATAAACTTCTGTTGAAGGACCTGAATGTCTGCTTGCTGATGGAAGCTCAGTGCCAGGCTAGGAACATGGGATCTGTGAGACCAGATCAGGCTGTCTTCATGTTCTGTGGCTTTACCCCTAGGAAAATCCCCCTCTCCTTTTCAAATACATCACACCAACAGCATGATGGAGGGGCTTTGGAAGGAAAAGGCCTTCCAGGAGCAGCATATGGCTTACTCCTGCTATTAACAGCCTTTTCACAGTTTTTAACACAGCTGTGTAGCTCCTGGCATCGTTCATGATCATAAACCCCAGCCCTGTAGCCTTGCCTTGCTTCATCTTAAATGGTTGCGATATTTTATATCATTAACAAATAGTCTGCTCTTTTGAACCCAGCGGGTAGCCAACTGTGCTTGAAATGGGAGATCACTTGCCAGGCTTGTTATTTGTGCCACCAGCTTCTTGGATGCAGAGAGATGACTCCCTGCTTCTTGAACTTGTCTTCCCTGCTTCTCCACCTCATGTCCCTTCCCTGTTCCAAAATACATAGGTAAATACTTAAATATATATTACAGTAAAAGAACTTAAACTTGTGTACAGGCAAGCAGTTTTTCTGAAGCCTCTGTTGACCAGTACCTGTCTGTACTGAGAAGGAAGGTCTGCCCTCTCTGTTGGTTGTGCACAGTGTAAATGAGAGTAGCCATAACGTTCCCTGTCTTTGTGCTCGTGAGCAGTGTTGAGGCGTGCAAGCTTAGAGAGACTTCCCAAGCCCTTGATGCTTCGTATTGACGTTGATGTTCCCAAGGAGGCCCGTGTGCTCGAGTTAGTTGTCAGTATGAGCAGTTTATTCCCTCTGTAGGACTCTCTGCTCAAACAAGTGTAGAGAGGTGAAGTAGCAATGCACTGTTGTTTTGTAAAACCTGCACTCTACTTTAGACTCTTAGCTCAGTGTCTGCCCTCAGAGGTAGGCCAGGGGAAAACAGCCTGGGGTTGGTGCCCAGGTCCCAGTGGGTGAACTGCAAAGCTGGTGCTTGGGTAATGTGTCATGCTGGCAGCTGTCTGCTGGGATCCAGCACTGCCCCCTGGCAGAGTGGCTGTTGGGATCATCAGCAGTGCTTCAGCTGTCAGAATCCTCTAATCCCTTCACCATATCTTAGTGACTGGAATGTCCATCTTTGGCCCTAATTTAAGAGGTTAAGGACACTGTTGGGGCAGGCTCCCGGTATTTCAAGCGGTTGCATGTGCCTGTTGCTCAAGGACCCCAACAGGCCTGCAGGAGTGGATTTCCCATTCTTTTGGGCAGTTTGTCCCATCTTCTGAGCAGAGTTGCAAAGTCTCCTGCCTTGGCTGTCTCTGTCAGAAGTGCAGTGGATGTTAAACCATCTGCCAGATACCCCCTGTACCAGTTGCTTCACTAGATGACCTTGGGAGTCACCTCTTACTCTAAGAGTTGCCAGAAGCTGCAATAACATGACAGAACATCAGGGTAGTTGCAGGTTAGGGATGAACAGGTATTTCAGCTGCGTTTTCTGGGGAAACAGAATTCCATGTTAACCTTAAAATTTTAGGTTGTGCACTTTCCTTACTACCCTTCACTGCAGGATGATCTAAAATCTTTGTAGGGGAAGAGTTCTCCTTGACCCTGGAGTATACCAATTAGTAACAGGGAAACTTGGCACATGGTGAGCTGTGTAGATCTCCTGATGATTGGTTTTGTCCTGATGGACTGAGGTGTTTCCATTACTTCTCATTGTTCAGATGTACATAGGAGAGGGATCTGCTGAGGTGGAAGTGGACTGCTGTACTGTTCTGTACTGTCTCATCAGAATGTCCACTGTGTTAACTTCATTCCCTATTTTTAGAGACAATCGATATACTGTGACTTAAGGATTCTTTTCCTGGACCTGGCTTCTAGTCTGGCTCTCTGGAGCTAATTTAAAAGGTACAGTATTTCTAGAATATAAATACTATGTTCTTTGATAGTGAAGAACATGATCTGCTCCCTTGTAGGGGCTCATAGGAATACGTGCACAGAGTAGCACAGAAGAGTACCGTGGCTTAGAGTTGCTATCCGAGTTCTGGGAAATGTTCCCAGTCAAACATGTAAAATAGCTTTTTAACACTTTCCTATAACCAGCTTGACTGCTGCTTCAAGGGCATTTCCCCTCAGCTCCAAGAGTGCCAAACTGCTCGCTCTTGTATGCGTGTATATATTCAACAGGAACTCTCCCTGCCCCATGCCTTGTAAGAGACAGGCTGAAAATGCATTGATCTCTAAAAAAATAGAGCTGAGAAGTCAAGGTAGAGACCCTGCCGTGTTGGTTTTGAACTGTGCCCATCTTGTTGCTGTGGTATGAAAGGAACCATGGAAATCAGAGCGTGACTGACTGTTGTAAAGCACCTCACATTCTGACATGAGACTCATGTATTGTCCCAGCTCTTGACACTAACAGTATTGCTTTCTTTAGGAAACTTGTAGCCTCTTACACGCTTGTCCATGGCACCATTAGATTTTCATTTGCTTTCAAGAGTTCAAGCATTTCCTCTGAGTGGTAATGGCTGAAGCAGAAAAGAGCAGACTAGAGAGTGATTCTTCTGTCTAGAGTGGTGAGTAAAGGGAGTGGTCTGAGTAACTTAATAGGGCTTTCATCTGTTGGCTTCTTCACCTGTAGAGGTCTGGACTTATTAGATGGGTCACAAGGTTTGAAGTAGTTCATGAACTGTTCTGCCTTGGACAATAAAAAAAAATGTAATCTGGTCCCTAGATAAGAATCCTCTTCTGCACTGTTGCTTCTGGGGCAGAAATTAAGACAGTCTTGTTCTCAGCTGCATCAGGACTACTGTTTGCTACAGTAGAAGGGATGAGGCCCCCAAGCCCCTTATGCTGTGGTAAGAGCAGATCAAGAAGTGGTAGAAAAGAGTCCTCTGAGTCCCCCATAGGGGGTGGGGGACTTGCTGGTGCTGTAGTTGTGCATCCTCTTGCAGGTCTGAGTGCTGCTGGACACTGATTGACTCTGCACAGTCCAGCCAAACTGCATTCTTGTGTGAGTTTAATAGTAACTGACTAATTAGTGCTTGGACTCTTAAATCACTGTTAAAGTGGGATATCAGCTGTCTTCCGCCCTATATAGGGCTTTCCTGCCCATCTTACTGCTGGAGCTGCTCCTCTCAGATATTACAGGGAATGCACCTTATCCTGATGATTCAGCCTCTTCTGTTTCACTGGTGCCAATGCATAGGAAGGAGCCTTTCTCCACTTGAGCCTCTTCCTACCTTAAGGAGCATCTCAAATCTTCTTCCAGAAGTCTCGCTGACATGCTGCCCCCAAATCTCTGAAGCGCTCGTTGTGCCCTCTACTTGTCCGTTCCCTTTGCTGTGTGGCTGAAGCTCTGCCCTCAGCCGTATTCCCTGTATAACCTTGTGCATGGCAGCCGTGTTTGCTGCTTCTTCCTTCTCCTTGGAGCTTATCAGAATGGGGAGGCAGATTGAACCCACTTACAGCAGCAATAAACCATGTCTAGAACTTGAGGGAACTGCAGGAGAGAAACGAGGTGGAGGGGATGTCTCGGAAAGGCAGGGTCCAGTTGCAGCCCAGAGCCTCGCTTGATAATGAGTGTGCAGCCTATATGCAAAATACGTCTTGTCTGTCCCTCCTGTGTTGACCCAGGTCTAAACAGCACATGTGATTGGCATCCTGCAAAGTGACCTTCAGAACTCTCCAGTAGCTTTGCCCCGTGAGTAACTCACACTACAAATCATTTTAAAGAGATGCACTCAACTATTTTTTTAATTTAATTTTACTCTTATATTCTCTGCTCTTTGTAATCTGCTTGGAAATAAAATGTTTTTCCCTGCAGCCTTTGTTGTAGTCTGTTTAAGAACCATTAAACTTTGTCTGATGTTTCCATTGGAACAGAAGCCAACTTGCCTGTTTACTGCTGTGCCCGTGCTGTAGCTCAGATCAGTGTGTGCCGCCCAGGTAGGCTCAGCAAGCCTTTGTTAGCCTGTCTTTATTTTAAATAAGGGTAGAGAGACCTGTTAGCCTGATCTTGGTCTGGCACAATGCCTCCTGTTGTGCTGATCTTGTGACAGGTAACGCTGACTCGAGAGTGCGTGTCCTTGGCAGGCAGCGCTTTCCTTGGGAAGGCTGTGGCTCTGATCCCTGCCTCCAGGATAACCATCTTGGTGCCCCGACAGGTAACGGCTTTCAGTGGTGTGGGCCTAGATGCTTTTATTTTCTGCATAGGACAGTGCTTTCCCTGCAGCTCCCTAGCTCAGGCAAACTGCAGCCAGTGGGAAATTGGTGTGTGGATAGGAGAAATCGACTCTTAGGTGAAATTCAATGAAGGAATTATGCACAGAAGTAATGGCAAGGTGGAATACAGTCCTTGATAGCAGTCTGGGAACAAGAATTAAACCCTGTAGAGTTCAGAGTGTCATGTAATGACAAAGCACTGTTACCCTGTGGCTGTAGGAAGGAGATGGTGTTGATGTTGACAGTAATAGCAACATCACCACTCTTTCAGGTGAAGGTTTTAAGGGCCATTGCGGATCCTTGTCACTGGCTCTTTGCTGTGCAAGGGCTGCATTTTCCTAGTTCAGGAGGGGCCTTGAAAGCCACATGTACCCTTTCTCATAGCAAAGGGAACATCCCTGTGCTGAGGCCTGCACCTTCCTTTCCTGCTACAAACAAACCCACCATCCCATGGGAAACAACTGTAACTTGGAGACCACAACCTTTGTTCTGTGCAGGTCAATGCTGCTGAGACCAAACAAGTCACTCAGGAGACCTCCTTCTGTCCATAGATACTTCACTTGTTTGGGGCTTTTCACCCTCCGTAAAAGTCACTGAAA